TGCCGCCGCCCCGCCTCCGGCCCCTCCCGCTCTCCGGGGCCGCCCGAGAATCCCGGCCTTTGGCTCCAGGAGGGGACGAGGGAATCCTGGGTCTGCCCGCGCGAGCACCAGGCGTCCCGCACAGTCGTCCCGATCCTGCCTCGGCGGACATCCCCGTCCGGCCCCTCAATTTCCATCTTTACCTATGCAGTGTAATTACGCAACGTTAGGGAACCCTTTTCTCTGTTGAGAAAATTGAAGCCAAGAGAAGACTCAATCAGACTGTTTATGAGCCTAGGTTTTCTCAATTAGAATAGGAACAATAACGCGAAGTTTGCAGTGTGTGTGTGCTGGGTATGGAATCCAGGGCCTCGTGCATGCTAGGCAAGAGCTCTGCTCCTGAGCCGTGTCCCATAAAATTTTGCAGCTCTTGTAAGAACCTTAGTCCGGAGCCTGACATGGAGCAGGGGCTGAGGAAATGATCCCTCACATAGTCATTACTGTCTCTGCAGTGTTTACAGGCATTTGCAGTCTCATTTGAGGCACACACCTGAGAAGAAGGCAAACAGGGAAACTGAGACCCAGGCAGGCTGAGTTGCTTGTTCAGAGTCAAAAGCAGCTTGCTTGAGATTTCTGAATATGGGAACTGGTCCCCTGAGTTCCACTTATTATCAGGCCTGGTAATCTCAGCAGCTTCTCTGGATCTCTGTGGTTTATCTTTTTCTGTTTTGTTCTTGCGAGGGACTGAACCCAGGGTCTCCTCATTGAGATAATCACCAGCCCTTTAAAAATTTTTTTATTATAAGATGGATTAGTGGCCCACATCTGTAATCCCAGTACTTGGGATGCTGAGGCAGGAGGATTTCTGTGAGTTCGAGGCCTGCCAGGGCAATATACTGAGTTCAAGGCCAGCCTGAACTGGCCTCTGAGACTCTGTCTCAAAAAAAAAAAAAAAAAAAAAGGGGGGGCTTACCTAGCATGGGCAAAGCCCTGGGTTGGATCCCCCAATTCTGGGGATTGAGGATAGAGGAGAAGAGAGAGAAAAGAAAAAAGCCTGCCAAGCGCCAAATGCTGGAAAATTCAATGTTGAATGAGAAGCCATCTCTGGCCCGTGGAACTCAGAACAGATTGTGATCATAAGGATGCTTAGTGCTGTGATTGAGAAAACTACTAGAGCCAGGCGTGGTGGTGCATGCCTGTAATCCCAGCACTCAGAAGGCTGAGGCAGGAGAATCTCCGAGTTCGAGACCAGCCTGGGCTACATAGTGAGTTCCAGGTCAGTCTCAACTACATAGTGAGACCTGTCTCAAAAAACCAAAAAAAAAAAGGAAAACTACTCGAGACCACCTTGGACAGGAGATACCCCAGAGGAAGTGATGTAAAAGCCAAGCCTTCAAAGAGAGGAAAGATGTGTTTCTGACACAAACAAACAAAAAACAGTAAATGCTAAAGCATGGGGGTTCATAAAGGGTGGTATTTGGAGCAGTATTTAAATACTGAAGTCTTATCAGAGCAAAGCTGCAAAGAATGAAGGAGAGGGGAAGTGAGATTGGAGGGGAAAGGAATTTGATCCTTATCTATTCCCTGAATAAACAAAAACAAGTTAATAAACAGTGACTGCTGAGGCCTTCTATTTGAAAGGGACCAAGTACTGTAGTCCCAGTGTTTTTTTGCTTTGTTTTTTTTGCAGTACTGGGGATTGAACTCGGGACTTTGTATATGTGAGGCGGGTGTGGTACCACTGAGCTAAATCCCCAGCCTCCCAGTGTTTTTTTGTCAAAGTTGGAATCTTTCAAGTGTCACCCCAGGGCCTTCTGCCTGGCTGGGAGAGGCCTTATTTAGCCTGACCTGGCTCGGATGAGCTTTCCTAGGCAATGTCTATATATAGGGGAAGGGGGCGGCCCAGTTGCCACTGTCCATCTGCCTTCCTTGGTGTCTAGCCCCGCTTTCCTGGCCTAAGACTGTGCTCTCCATTAGCTCAGTGTTTGCTGTTAACTTAGCCACTGTCCATGAGCCTTTCCTACTCTGCACTGCCCAACCTGGACTCTGTGGATTCTCTGGAGGGGCAGCTGAGACCTTGCTTGGACACACTAAGGAATTTGCTCCCTTTGGACTAGATTTGACCCCTTCCCCCCTCCCGACCCACAGAGCTCCTCTAGATTTCTCCACTGAGTTCTAGGAAGGGGCCAGCTGCTCCTTTGCCACTTAGAGAACCTTTTCCTGTCCCTTCCTCTCCCTAAACTGAATCCCAGACACTCTTTCTCTAGAGAAAAGTAACTTGAAAGAAGAATCTTTGTTTTCCATGTTTACAAAGACTTCTCCAAATGTACCCCCTCATCCCTCTGGGCACTTCTTCTGGATGCCCTAGGACTGTCTCAACTTGTCCCCAGGAAAGATTACTCAGAAGTGCCAAAAGCTGTATGTGATGTCACATTTCTGTAATCCCAACAAAAGGCTGAGGCAGGAGTCCAGGAGACCAACCTGGGCGACATAGTGAAAACCTGTGTCAAAAATATCTATGTATTCTTAAAATGTGAGAAAAGGAAAAAATGGAAACAAAGTCTTTGTAAATAGAGGAGGGTGGAGGGGGTGAAGGGAGGGCAGCGGTATGGGGAAAAATGAGAACCAAGATCTGTCATGTAAAGGTACAAGATCCCTACGATGAATGTAACTGTACTGTATACTTTAAAAGTACCAATAAACTCAATAAAAAGAAAAAATATATACAGATATATTGGGGAGTAGCTCAGTGGTAGAGTTGCTTGTGTGAGGCCCTGGGTTTAATCCTCAGTACACACACACACATGCCGGTGGAGAAAGAGCTGTTAATTTACAAAGCCCTCCAGTCAAATGGGGATAATAGTAGTTGCCATCTCATAGGATGAGCACTAAATGAGATCAGGTGATTGAAATGCTTAGCAAAGGGTGTGGCACATCGAGGTTCACTAAATGGTGGCCTAGTTATCACCCTCTTTTCTGTCCCTTACCCCATATCATGGTTCAAAGAGAGACCATTACATTTGCCAAGCACCAACCGTCTCAACCTGGAACAAGCTAGGTGACTTACACCTGGGTCTCTCTTTGGAGCCATTATGACTCCTTCCGTGGGTGAAGCAAGTAGGCTCAGAGCAGCATGACTACCTGCCCAAGGTCACATACCTTGCCAAAGCAGGACTGGGTTTTGAATTTTGGATTTTAAGTCTGTGTTCTTCCCTTCCCACTCTGCTACCTTGTCTGTCACTGTTCTGACTGTCCTTATCCATCTGGAGCAAGAGTGCTTCCTGGCAGGGTTCTCTAAGGCCATGGAGCAGGGTAGGTCCTCCTCATAAGAATCTAGGATGTCAAGGCCTGCCACCTGCTCAGAGGCTTAAATTTCTCTGCAAGGGCCCTTGGCTAAATTAGGTAATGGGCTAGGATTCTGGGAGGGGTGGGGCTTGCTGACCCCAGGATCTGATTGGGCAGGTTATCCAGTCCTGGGGAGCAGGGAGGTGGGAGGAGAGGGTGCCCCTACAAATCCTGGGGGCTGGGGTGGGCCAGGGCATCTTTGGGTGGTGGAGTGCAGAGGACTCAATCCATAGGAGGGGAGTCCGAGTGACCAGCAAACATGGTAAGAACGAGAAGGGTCTTTACTCATTTGCTTGCTGGAGCACTTCTGGGCCTTTTTCAAGTTGATCTGGGGACTTTGAGTGACAGAAACTTAGCCTTTGAAGGTGGAACATGTAGGTTCCTGGGACCCAGGGGTCTTGGAGAAATCCTGGGTGCAAAGGCCTTTGACTTCTCCTGGATGTGGAGGCCTGGGATCCTCAAGGGTTGAGGTTCTCCGCCCACCTTCTGAGACTTCCAGCAATTTCACTCACAGGGCTATGAGGGGCTCTTAGCTTGTCTCCTTTGTAGTAGAGATGGGGACTCCAAGGGCCAGAGTGACTCACCCACCAAGCCAGTGGTAAGAGCAGACTTTGTGAGCCCTGCCAAACCTTCCTATGTTAGCAAGGGAAGAAGGGCTTCTCTGGAAGATGAGAGACCTGCAGAGTTTGCAGCCAGCTCAGGTGCAGGGCTCTAAGAGTCCAGAGGATGACGGAAAGAGGCTTAAGGTAACAAACCAGATCAGAGAGACCCCAGCCTCCCTGAGAAAGGTCCCAATTGGAGATTGTCATCTTCTTCTGAGAGTCCCCTCCCCACTTCACTTCAAGGAGTAACTAGACCGCAGGGGCCAGCTGCTGTTCCCCATGCCTGACTAAAAATAGCCTGTCTTCCTGGCATGGGGCAAGAGGGAGGGCAGGGAGATGGTTGGAGCCAGATGGACGAAGAGCTCCTGGGACATCTCACAGCTTCCTCACCACTAGCCTCAGTCCAGAGTCCCTGATCCAGATGGCCTGCTTGGATGTGACCAGGACACCTCCACAGAAATCTTATTTTCACACCAAGCCCGCTCATTTTCTGTCCAATGACTGCATTGCAAGAAGGAAACTTAAAAATCTCTATCTCTGGACATTCTCTGTTGCAAGGGATGATGTGTTCATCTCTTTTTGGGGATCTGACTCTTGCAGGTGCTCAGTAACTGTGTCACATTATTTCTGTATTTGAAGATGTTTATTGAGCAACTATAAAAGTACCAGACAGGATTAGGAGGGAAAACTGGAAAATCATGCTGGAATGTTGCCGATGGGTTACAAAGCCATTTCCCATCCTTGGTTTCATCTTATCCCTGGAAAGTGCAGAGAGGAGACACTAAGTGACTTACCCAAGGTCACTGGGAGTGGGCGGGTGCTGACTTCTGGTGCACAAGCATGATCCATGTCTCTTGTTCTCAGCCCGGGGTCCGGGTGCTGATGGGGCACCGGAAGGTGCCACATTTAGAACTGTTCTCCAGGGGGAACCCAGGGACACTTACAGAAGTTGGGGGAAAAGAAAATGTGGCTGCCCTTTCTGCTCTCTGACTCTCTCTTGTGCCTTTAGCAGACGGACCAGCAGGCTGAGGCCCGGTCCTACCTCAGCGAGGAAATGATTGCTGGTGAGTGAGGGTGGCTGGGGGGAACTTGGTAGAGTCTGGGTAGGTGAAGAGGGCCAGTGTGAGAGGCTGACCGTCCAGCCCACCCTGTCTCAGCCCTCTGCTCTTCTTTTCCTGCCAGAGTTCAAGGCTGCCTTTGATATGTTTGACGCTGATGGTGGTGGGGACATCAGCGTCAAAGAGTTGGGTACCGTGATGAGAATGCTGGGCCAGACACCCACCAAAGAGGAGCTGGATGCCATCATCGAGGAGGTGGATGAGGATGGTGAGCGGGTGTGTGTGTGTGTGTGTGTGTGTGTGTGTGTGTGTGTGTGTGACTCCAAGGCTGGGGTGGAGGAGAGAGGCAGAATGCAGGGCTCGCGGGGCTCAGCACAACCCCTGCTCTCCCCAGGCAGCGGCACCATCGACTTTGAGGAGTTCTTGGTCATGATGGTGCGCCAGATGAAAGAGGACGCCAAGGGGAAGAGCGAGGAGGAGCTGGCTGAGTGTTTCCGCGTTTTCGACAGGTGCGCCGCCGCCTTGTGGCTGGGTGTCTTCCAGCCCCTGCGGGGTGTTGGGTTACTAGGGCTGAGAGCCTGACGTGGGGCGTAGGCGTGGCCAGCGCGACTCACCTGTCACCGCACCTTCCCCCCATTTTTCCTCCCCCAAGGAACGCAGACGGCTACATCGATGCTGAGGAGCTGGCTGAGATTTTCAGGGCTTCTGGGGAGCACGTGACAGACGAGGAGATCGAATCCCTGATGAAAGACGGGGACAAGAACAACGACGGCCGCATTGACTTTGACGGTGAGGGCCGCGAGAGCTTCTGGGACGGGACGTGCACCCTCCAGTCGCCCTCGGCCCTGGGGCGGGGCTGGGTATAGCCTGACTAGGGGTGGGGAGCGCCGGGCTGCTTGTGTTATCCCACCCTCTGCGCACCCGGGCCCTGGCCAGGCCTACGCGTCCCCAGGGGAACCCCTGACCCCCGCCCTCCTCCTCCATGCAGAGTTCCTGAAGATGATGGAGGGCGTGCAGTAAGGAGCCGGTGGCCCCTCCTCGGAGACGGAGACCTCGCGTCCCTCGGGCGTAGCCAGCTCCATCCAGTCGCTCGGTTTCCCGCCCCACCAGCGAGGCACTGCCCCCGACAGGCTGTGTCTGGAAGGAATAAAAGCAAACATTGCAAAGCTAGTGGCTGAGTGAGGGGAGTGC